TGTCCACATACTATTAAATCCTCTGTTTCCCTTCAAGATTTTTCCTTCTTTGGATTTTGAATTCATAGCTAGACGAGCTGGAGAGGCTCCAGGCTAACCACAGCTACTGAACTTCAACAAATCTTAGAGGAAAAGGCAGCAGGTCGTAGACGTATGACGCACGTTTTAGCTCATGAAATGTTCAAACATTTATTAATCTAATGTATAGGCTACATATTTTTACAGTTAGAGAATGCAATAATCACTTTAGGCCTACAACAATGACAAATGAAAACCTGAACGAAACGAAATGAAAACCTTTCCATATAATTTCATGTCAAAGCCACAGGGAGACAATGGAGAGGATCTAAAATGGCCGCAGGTTGCCTATCCCTGCAATAGAAGTTTGTGACTGTGTATTTTTCTGCAGAGACTCTGCCCTCTGCCTTTATCTTTTTGTTTTCTGTGTTCGGGACGTTTATGGGTGTGTAGCCTCACAGTGTTCAGGTAAGGTCGGGGCTTTATAAAAAGTTGCCAGACTGTAAGCAGCAGGCATAGAAAAGACACTGCTCTAAAAATACACAAATATTGCAAGGTGACATACCAAACAAGAGTGGGTCTGTCACTGGGTTTTACCTTTGAAACAGCCACTAACAATCCTGCATAGTACGCCTTGAACATGCACACAGAGGAAATTTGGCAAACTGTTTTCCACTAAATTTGTCATTAATGCTGCAACAACAGCTGCAAATGTTGCCCTTTCAACTGTAATGTGTATGAGTTGCTCCACTTTTACTTTAGCACAACAAAATATGCAGTGAAATGTGATTTAAAACAGCATTTTACCCACATGATTCTCTCTCTGTCTAGACCTCTTATCCTCCCACACACTACATCCGCCGCGTGCCTCAGAGGAAGGTCCACTACTTCACAGCGGTGCAGATGATCCAGCTGATCATCCTGTGTGCGTTTGGGATGTATCCTCTGCCCTACATGAAGATGGTCTTCCCCCTTCTGATGATCCTGCTGGTGCCTGTCAGGTGAGTCGACCCAGGCCAACAGGGGGCAGAGTGGGACCATGGAAACCAACACAGTGCTACAACGTCTGCACAGTCAACATTAAGATTCATGCTGAGCTGTTTTACAGGAGAATGCCACTGATTTAACACAGGAAGATCAGTTTACTAGTCATCATTCTGTGGAGGAAGGAAAAGTGATGTCATCAGCTTGCACATTTTTAGCTTTAGAACCTGGGGGGGTGTGGAGTTTGAAGACTTTTGTAGTGCAAAAAAATGTCAGACTTAATGTTTGTGTGTGAGGGATGTATACATTTACTGTACAATATCTCTGTGTTTTCTCTCAGGATCAGCCTGCTTCCCCGAATGATCGACGCCAAGTATCTGGACATCATGGACTCCCAGCACATGTAGAGCAACAGAGCAGATGCTATGACAGGATTCACTTTCTCCAGCTGGAAGGGAAAGAGACTGAGAACTTGATGATTGTGTTGATAACTAAATGCATTTGGACTGCAGGATTTGGATGCGAGCACTTGGGCTGGCGACTGGACGACGATTTACACCCCTCACTCTCATTGTTCATCACACATTTACCATCAGAGTAGCTGAGAGTTTAATATCTAACATTCCTGCATCTTTCTACTGTTGTATTTTCCCACTAACACACACATCCGCACTGAGCTGGTAACTGATGGAGTCAGACGTTATTGTATTATAAAAAAAAACAACGTAATAATTTCCTTTAATTTAGGCGTCATGTTGTTTAATAAAGAGCTGCTTGGTCTATTTGTGTATAAATGTGATGTGACAGAGGGGATTTCAGTGTTCTCCATGATCATTTCACAAAGTGAGACAGGATTTCTCACTGGTGAAAACACGCAGAGCGAAGTGTCACCTCACACCAATAAAGTTTTAATCAGCCACACTGAAGCGAGTTATCTCAAGATACGTGTTCCGGTTGTTTAGATGTTAAAAACGGCTATTTTTATTTGTGAGGAGACGCATAAGATGATGTATGTTAGTATAAAGCTAATTTTATCTGTGCAATGTAATGTTTGTATTTAATCAAACTGTTGTTACACAAATAATAAAGCCCTGTAAAAGAAGTGAACTGACATTTTTCATCATGCTGCACCGCCTCAATATTGAAGGCAGACACACTTAACATGCACCACCAGTCACTGATACAGTAGGTAACAGGAGAGCAGCTTCTCAAATACCATCACACACAGCATCAGCATCCTTTATTGAGCCGAGGGAGACTGACAGTTGCAACGCTCTCACTGTTAAGTTCCTCCAAAAGATGGCAGTAGAAGCTCATCTTCAGGATGGTGGATGATAGATGTGAACTCACCAGTACATTGCAGAAAAAATGAGGCAGATTAATATCAACTAGTGTAAGAAACTGGGGTAATGACGTGGGTAGAGATCTCAAAACATACCACATTTAGATGTTTTGCTGTAGTGACGTAGGTTTTGTTTCAACATTAAGGGGGGACATATGAAACGGGGAGTTTGGGGTCCTCTGCCAGAAAATTTTGAGCATTAAACACTTGATTTATTGCATTCTGGTGATTTTTATGCACCAATTTGTGCCCTTAATGCATCAATGTATGGTGTAAGTGTATTTAATTTTGTCAAAATACAAAACCCAAAACCAGTGAAGTTGGCACGTTATGTAAATCGTAGATAAAAACAGAATACAATGATTTGCAAATCCTTTTCAACTTATATTCAATTGAATACACTGCAAAGACAAGATGTTTAATGTTCAAACTGAGAAACTTTATTTTTTTTTTGCAAATAATCATTAACTTAGAATTTAAAGGCAGCAACACATTGCAAAAAAGTTGGCACAGGGGCCTTTTTACCACTGTGTTACATCGCCTTTCCTTTTAACGACACTCAGTAAACGTTTGGGAACTGAGGAGACCAATTTTTGAAGCTTTTCAGGTGGAACTCTTTCCCATTCTTGCTTGATGTACAGCTTAAGTTGTTCAACAGTCCGGGGTCTCCGTTGTCGTATTTTACGCTTCATAATGCGCCACACATTTTCAATGGGAGACAGGTCTGGACTACAGGCAGGCCAGTCTAGTACCCGCACTCTTTTACTATGGAGCCATGCTGTTGTAACACGTGCAGAATGTGGCTTGGCATTGTCTTGCTGAAATAAGCAGGGGCGTCCATGAAAAAGACGTTGCTTGGATGGCAACATATGTTGCTCCAAAACCTGTATGTACCTTTCAGCATTAATGGTGCCTTCACATATGTGTAAGTTGCCCATGCCTTGGGCACTAATACACCCCCATACCATCACAGATGCTGGCTTTTGAACTTTGCGCCTATAACAGTCCGGATGGTTCTTTTCCTCTTTGGTCCGGAGGACACGACGTCCACAGTTTCCAAAAACAATTTGAAATGTGGACTCGTCAGACCACAGAACACTTTTCCACTTTGCATCAGTCCATCTTAGATGAGCTCGGGCCCAGCGAAGCCGGCGGCGTTTCTGGGTGCTGTTGATGAATGGCTTTCGCTTTGCATTGTAGAGTTTTAACTTGCACTTGCAGATGTAGCGACGAACTGTAGTTACTGACAGTGGTTTTCTGAAGTGTTCCTGAGCCCATGTGGTGATGTCCTTTACACACTGATGTCGGTTTTTGATGCAGTACCGCCTGAGGGATCGAAGGTCACGGGCATTCAATGTTGGTTTTCGGCCTTGTCGCTTACGTGCAGTGATTTCTCCAGATTCTCTGAACCTTTTGACGATATTACGGACCGTAGATGATGAAATCCCTAAATTTCTTGCAATAGCTCGTTGAGGAATGTTGTTCTTAAACTGTTCGACAATCAGCTCACGCATTTGTTCACTAAGTGGTGACCCTCGCCCCATCCTTGTTTGTGAATGACTGAGCATTTCAGGGAAGCTGCTTTTATACCCAATCATGGCACCCACCTGTTCCCAATTAGCCCGTTCACCTGTGGGATGTTCCAAATAAGTGTTTGATGAGCATTCCTCAACTTTCTCAGTCTTTTTTGCCACTTGTGCCAGCTTTTTTGAAACATGTTGCAGGCATCAAATTCCAAATGAGCTAATATTTGCAAAAAATTACAAAGTTTACCTGTTCGAACATTAAGTAACTTGTCTTTGCAGTGTATTCAATTGAATATAGGTTGAAAAGGATTTGCAAATCATTGTATTCTGTTTTATCTGTTTTCATTTACGGTTTACACAACGTGCCAACTTCACTGGTTTTGGGTTTTGTAAAAGCTTGTAATTGGAGGGACAAATGCACATGTTCTAGGAGACGTGTCCACTGCCTCCATCCCTGAAATCTACATCTATGTTTTGCCATTAGTGTGTTTCATCTGTTTCTTCCTGTAAAGCCGCTCCTTGAAGCCAACAAACCACCTGTCGCTGTCATTTCTAATGCATCTTACCGCCTTTGATGTGCTCAAAATTGTTATTCCACCATTAATGCATCAACTGTTTCATCATGAATGTTTCCCAGGCATGTGCTAATCGTCTGCGCTGAGTGCCTGCAGGGGGAAAAAAAACACCCAATTGTTTGTTTGAGCCCTCCGACAAACAAAAGGAAGCTCCTTTTCACATTATTCTACAACGAAGCAGTGAACACAATTATCATCCGTGGCTGGAACTGTAATTGTGGATGCAGCCAAAGAGAAGAGCGTGCTCTCATTCACATTCAATAATTTGGAATTAAATTGCGCAAAGAAAACAGTCTGTCTTTGTAAAATTAACCAGACCTGGAAGGCACCGTGTGAATAGCCAACATGTATCCTTGTCTCCATTTATAATGATAAGAAGATCACTGGTGTGATCAGAACATGTCTGCGCTCTTCATTATAACATTTGCAGCATTTTAGGGTCCCATTCGGGGCCTGATTACACTCTAATGTTCATTGTCCATTTCAGAACTGACTCATGTGGCATCAAGTAGGAGCATAATTCAACACTGAGATGTGTAAATGACTAAAAATGCATCCTCTGTGCACCTTTAATAGAAGAAGGAACTATAAGAATTTATTTCACATCATTGTACAAAATTGAGAAGAGGCAAAAAAAGGAAGCCAGAGGGTTTCTGAGGTTGAAAGTCGACCCTGATGACCTTCCTGTGTAGCCCTTTTAGTCCAGGTCTGACAGTACGCTAAGCCAAATGTGGGCTCGAGTATAAAAATACAACTAATGCCATGACTCTGCTGAGATTTGGACGTTTAGTTGAATCCCAAAAAAACCCAGAGAGAGTGAGAGATGATGAGACTGTCACCATAGAAATACATCCACCTCTTGGTCACCATAGAGATGCTGCCAATTAATTTGCCATCACAAAAAAAACCTGTATATTTATCTCTCTGCTGCCTACACAGAACTCCCCTTCCTGATCTGAGATTTGTGGTGAATTTGCACTCTTGTCTTCGCAAATGGAGTCCAGTGCCTCCGTCAGCTGTGCGCGTCCTCCGTGTACCTGTGTTGCCTTGGCTACCTGTCGTCTCTTGTGCGTCTCAGAAGCGTCACCAGCAGAGTCTAAGTGCTCTTGATGCCCTGGAAGCCGCAGAAGTTCCAGCGTTTCTCCAGACTGGCTCCGACGCCGGTCAGCTCCTGTCTGAAGGTGCAGGGCAGCCGAGAGAGAAGAGCTTCCACCTCACTGGTGTTGATCTGTGGAAACACATAATGGGAAGAGTAAGATGTCACACAATACTACTTTTTCCACACGAATGAGCACAGACAATCTCACACATCCTCACACCTCCACTATTCACACCTCTGCTCTTAATTTTCATCATGCTCACACTCATTTCTCACACCTTCTCTTGAACCAGATAAATAGGCCAAGCATGAAGACAGTATGAGATACATGACAGGATTCACGTTGGCTCACACCATCCAGGCAGGCTGAGACAGGTTGAGGTGAGAGACAGAAATCCACTGTATGAGCTCCTGTGGACGACCCATAGTGTCTTGCATTAATAACTAGGTTGGTGGAGCTCTGTGTTGATGCCAGGATGCATTAAGGTCCATCATGGAGATAGCACTGGTGTATCATTACAGACAATGGAGCTGTGTGCGTGTGGAGCCGGTAGATAAGCAGAGAGGATTGGGCATGTTGTTGGAGAGTCTAGTCAGTGGTATTGACAAAACTCTGTGGACTGCTTGATGTGCAGAGTTAGTGTTGAAACAACAGATACACAGGCAAACAGGCTTCAACAAAATCTCCAACACGCAACACAATCATGTACAAAGCATGCAAAACACATACAAAACTGACATACAACTCATACACACACTTAAAGCAACAGTGTGACATGTTGGGAGATACACTTCAGAGGATCGATATCACTCATGCCTGTGAGAAAAATGTGAAGATCAATAACAGGGGGAAAGTGCTAGCCTGGCTGCATTTTTCCAACCCACTTTATATGAAACCACGCCCACTTCAAGATGAGGATGGCAGGCTAATGAGTGGTTGCCAGGGTATTGCTAGCCAGTCCCATTAAGAGAGACTGCTGCAAGCTAGCTTAAGCACCCATGGATGTACCCAATAACTATATACCCTGCTGTCCCTCCACCTCTTGCAGCCAAACACTCTGAGCTTCCTGTTCATTTGCCAAGAAATTTGGCAGACTTACACTAGAGGATAAGCAGGGAGCTGCAGGCCTGGCAGCACAGGGGAAGCCAAACACCATTTATCTGCACACACTGTGATGACAGAGCTAGTTAAAAATCAAAAAAACTTTAAAAAAAAACCTTTAGCTTATATTGGAGTTAATATGTAGCATGTGAAATAGGGTATGGTGAATGCGCTAGGAAAGGTAGTGTCAGCACTGTCGCTACCTGGAGCTAGCATGTACGGAGCTTGGGTTTGTTGAAGGTGGCAGTGCTGTTTGGGCTGAGAAAGTCATGCGTAATGTAAGGTGTGCTAGGAAAGGTAGTATCAGCACTGTCGCTACCTGGAGCTCGCATAAACAGAGCCTGGGTTCGTTGAAGGTGGCAGTGCTGTGTGGGCTGAGAACGCCATGTGTAAGTAAGGTAAAGGAGGTTGTTGGGTTGGTGCGGGGAGCAGTGAGACCTGGCATTAGGGGAGTGTCTCTGGGACGCCAGAGATCACTGTCTAGCCTCCTGGAGGTGTCATGGGACCAACTAGACGAAACACTGGTGAAAGGAGGTTCCCACCTGATGACCCCAAAGACATGTTAGTTATCACTGCTCAATGGTCTGTATAATTAAGCCTTGCCATAATAGCTTATCACAGCGCTTAGGAGGTTATTCACTGAGCACTGATCCTTTATCTAGAGCACAAACTTCTTGTGTTTATTTGAACAGATGGGCCACAAAACAGGTTAGTGAACAGCAGCATGAAGGCTAGTGAGAATGTTACGGTGGTTACTTCTTTTTTTAATCTCTTTCTTTCAAACTTGGTTAAGACTAAGTTTTGAATGATGTTCGAGTGCTGCTTGGGTGGAGACGGACATTGTTTAGTGGCAGCCGGTCAATTCACTGCACTGGCTAAGAAGCTAAAATTAGTGGGTCTACCTGGTTATTGAATTTCAATCACTGCTAATCGAAGCCGATCAGAGCTGGAGCCGTTAAACTCTCGTGACTACTGCAGAATCATTTGTCCTGGGAGTGAATGCCAATTGTAACCTTTCCCATTAAATACAAAAGACAGAAATTTGTTGGTTTTGGTGGGGTTTTTGTCCAGTGGAGCAGGCTAAAGATACATGAAGGAGGTAGAGGAGCATCAAAATCCAATGTCCTGCCTCTAAGGAGAGGAACAGAGGGTGTAGAGTTCTTTAATGCATTTGGCAAGGGTGATATTCAAAGCAGTTTCACGGGGCGCCCATCAGCATCGATTTTCTCATCTAACTCTCTTTAATAAGCATATTCCCCAAATTGTTAAACCATTAATGAAGACTGACATGTTCTTCTCCTTCTAACCTGTCAAAAAAGAGTTGCCATCTTTCTAATTATATACAGTATATGTTTAGGATCTATTACTAAAATATTGATCCCCAACATTTTTAAGATATATGCTAATTTTCCAAACTGAAGTGTTGAGATGGTCGTCCGAAAAAGTAATTTAACACCAGGCTGAATTTGAGTGTTTGATTGTTTTTAAGTTTTAAGCGTGTTGCACCTGTAACCACACCCAACAGTGATGTCATAGTGTACTGACACACCCTGAAGTACACCTCTCAACTACAGGATGGTGAGAAATTCAGCCTCAAACAAGATTTTCACCTGCCGTGAATGCAGTTATCAAACAAAAATAACAAACACTTGTTGTTTACAGATGTTTCAATGTGAGGATTTTCTGGTTTTCTCTGTTTTATATGATTGTAAATAAAATATAATAGAGTTGTGGACTGCTGTTTGAACAAAATAAGCAACATGAAAACATTTCCTTGGGCTCTGAGAAATAGCCATGGGCATTCTCCACTATATTCTGACATTGTGAAGACTACATTTTAATCAGTTCATCTGTTAATCAGTTAAATAACAGACAGACCACTACACTCTATTATAGACTGAGCAAGCCTTTACCAGTCCTTGTATTTTACATTCCTTTAATTTGTTTGTGAAAGCTATAAGATGGCAGGAGAGCAATCAGATCCAACAGAATGACACTGACTGTTTTTAATATTACGCGTTGTTGGATGAGCGCCTGGTGAGAAACCAATAACCTTTATTAGTGTTAAATCAAGAGAAACAAAAACACTTTAACATTATATCAACTGGATGCTCTCGTCATAAAGGTGCCAGTCAGATGCAGCGAGTTGAACGGCAGGAGATAATGAGAGCACATTTGGAAATCAAGAACAGTCTTGGAAGGATGGTGACGACGAAGCTCAGCTCGGTTATAAACCAGGAATCAGTTCAAACGTGTCGACTTGTTCACAGAAATCAGGCTGACTAACAGCCTAAACTGGCAGCGGCAGGCAGCAGCAGACGGACGCAGAACATGAATATATTCATCAATAAGTTGTGCAAGTGGGGATGTGTGATAAAATTAGAAAGTGATAACGGCAACAGACAGAAACAGAGAGGCTCTAACGGAGCAAAGACAAAAAATTCTATATATTGAGGTTCTTGCTTTTAATAAGGCAGGAGCAGCTGAGGCCTAAAAGGTTGAGACAAACAAGATTTTGACCATCGGGAAGGTCAGCGGTGCTTCGTCCTGCATCAGGAGAAAAACCGTGGTGGGATAAACCTGCTGCATCAACAGCTGTGGGTTTACTCAGCTGCCCACTTCAGGCAGCTCCTGCTGTGACTGTGTAACTAACACAAAGCTTCTATCTGTTCATATCACAAAAATACCTGTGTTTGTAACTGTATTCTGATTACACCTGCAGTGAATGTGGTAAAGACATTCTCATTTCCAACTCATCAAATACAGCAGCACGGTCAGCGGCCCCAACGCTTCAAACTATGACACCCTTGGTACCTCCTTAGCATCAATTTTGGACACTCAGGAACGGCATAACAATTTCCACTCATCATATGCATAGTGTCTTCTCAAAATAAAATTCCATGTTCATAGGAATGTAGGTCGCATCACCAAAACTTAGATAACTACGTTTGTTACTAACTCCTCTTATGTAAGTAAGTTAATGAGTAAATCTATGTGCAACTCAACTCAACTCAATTGTCACAAAAGTCACTGTGGTCTCCTAGGTGAAAGTCCTGTGTTTGTATTACTCATCCCACACCCCTTCCTCCCACAGTACTCAGACTTTCTTGATACTACGTCATTGCCATTTAAGTTTGTTGGAAAGCCTGGTATGTCTCATACAGACGCCAAAGGGTGCCTTGTGAGTCAGAATTGGAAGTCAACAGCCTCTGACCAAACTGCTGTATTTGACGCCCTGGGAACGAGATCAGGTTAGTGTGTTTACACCTGATATTAGAAATTGTCTATTCTACTGTTTTCTACTGCCCCATACATATGTCAGTAAGTTCAGCTGCCAACAAACATAATATTTTAACCATGTAAATAAATTAATCTCAGAATGATACATCATTTGTATTTCGATTTTACCTTCAAAAAAGAAGAAGAGTCTAAACTGAGAAACAGTGTAACTATTAATGTTTTGGGTGGAAATCAGTAGAGCAAATAAAACAGGTGTTTAGTGAAAAAACACAGAATACAGTCAGAATTGCAGCATTTTGCATAATTTCCTTGACAAGCTCAAGGCCGAATGGGTTCAGATGAATGTTGGTCTGAAGAGTCCATAGAAAAAAACACTATTGACAAAAAACAGGCCATAAAAACTCACAGAGCCCTTTAGTGTCACGTATTTAAAAACAGCTCAGTCACTAGAAGGAAATGTTGGCATTGCATGTTTCTGTAAACCAGTGGTTCCCAACTGGTCCAACCCTGGGGTTCAGATTTCTCCTTAGTCATTAGTTCAAGGTCCACACAGTTTAATACATTCAGCATCATACTTGCATTTGGACATGTTGTCCAGCTAATCTGACATCTCTGTCAAGTAGCTGTCCGTTAGTCACTCACTCTACAGCAGGAAACAGCACTATAAAATAAAAGCTCTGTGCCATAAATTCATTGTCCTTAAAATAAAGTGTGTTTTTCATAAACTTGACACAATTGCAAGTAACTTGCGGCCCATTAAGAATGAGCCTGCGACCCACTTTTGCACCATGAACCACTACTATAAACCATGAATATGTTACCTTTGAACATTTGAAATGGAATATATCTACATTTTTAAAGTAACGTTGTATTTTAGCTGACTTTATCATCATGAGTTGGGGATACTGTATCACCAGCCAAGCTGCAGACCAAGGTTTAAGACCAACAAACAAACAAGCTGTGATTTAACCAGTCATTGCCATGTTCCCAGCAGCTTTTTAGGCTCCAAATGTGGGTGTTTTTGGGGAGACCTGTTGCTGTTTTATCAGCAGAGATAGTGTCACAAAAAGAGATTGATTTTTACGGAAACATTGCTGCTCTTCTAGTGGGGCTGAGCCCCTGAATCCGAGAATTTGAAGCCAAATCATGATCTTTTCCTAACCATAACCAAGTAGTTTTAGTGCCTGAACCTAATCGTACATTAACCACAGCATTGTTAAAACAGAAAGTTTCAACATACTTGCTACATGTGCAACTTACAATGCCAACATTTTTTTCTGGTGACTGGGTTTTTAAAAAAGGAGATTGAGCCTGCAGTGTGAGGAAGTCTAGATTAAAAAAAAATAAATAAAAATGTTTGAAATTTATTTTAGAAATGAGAAAGCTATTAACAAAAAGCCACTTTAGCCATTTGCATGTCTTTTTGATATGGTCCCAAATGTCAGCACCTCAGTCTCACATCATGAGGTAAAAATAACACCTGTGGAACATCAGTCAAGATTTATTACACACTCCATGACTGACATGGTGAAAAATGATGAAAGGGGAAGCTTCGTTAAACTTGTGAGTATTCAATTTAAACCTAAGTACACCTCTGTGTTTTTAGCCAGTAGCCTATTTGTTTACACACTGGTAGGGACAGGTGCATGAGTGTGAAGCAGTGCAGCTGTAAAGTGATGTGCCTGTGCCTCTTTGCTGAGATACATAAACGGTTAAAAAATCTCAGAGTAACTGATGGCTCTCGCCGGCACTTCAGGCTTGTTTGCGTGCCAGGAGACTAAAATGGCACAGCAGGACCCTGGCATACAGCAGACCCATATGTCAGCCCTGCAGGGAAATTTAATCTGTGTCACTATGTCTAGGATACAGTATGTATGTGTGTGTGTGTGTGTGTGTGTGTGTGTGTGTGTGTTACCTTGGTGTCCAAACGCTGCAGGTAGGAACAGATGTACTCAATGCTGGCTCCAAACGGGTGGACATGCAGGAAGGTTGAAATGATCCCTGAGGTAGAACAAATAGGTCACGCAGACATGTTAATTAAAATGTCAAAATGGTGACACATAACCTGTCACAAAGCTCCAGCCTTTTAGTTTGTGTCGCCTCTCAAACATAACTTTAAATCATGGTAGGATACTCAAGAAATCAGTTTGCATTATTCTCCCTCCTCTAGCCTGACTGATAAACAAGCGAGGATGCATCGAGTGGCTTTTGTCAGACTCCCAGTACTGTTAAGAGCCTCTTGTATATTGTGGCTCCAGATTAGAGGGAGTGTTTGATGACGGCTTTGATGCCGTTATCTCTCATCAAAGCCGCGTGCTACTGAAACTCTCCACAAACTCGAACCAAACCATCTGCTCTCCGCTCTCTGATAGGGCCAGGAGAGAGATAATCCCGCACCTCAGCTCATCGTTAGAGCGCCATGAGGCCGATAGAAGACACCAGCTGAGATTCGGGTGGTGGGCCTCCAGATGATCTGACCTCAATGTGTGTATGACAGACGAGAAACACTCATTTTCAAACAGAAATATTTAATTTGGAGAAAAGCTAATTTCTTTCTCGCCTCAGTTATTACAGTATTTTATTCAGGACATATGATTTCATTTTCGGTCACTGTTAGGGATATGCAGCCAGTGACACAAAGAAAGGAAGACAGATAGGTGGTGAAGATCTTTGTCTGTGTAGGTTCATTAGAGCTTTGAGCTCCAGTAGGGGTATCGCACTCTTCTTCCTCACTCAATACAGATTAGTGACGGCGAGAACAACGTATGGGTTTCTCTTCAACTCTTTCCCATCCTATTCGCCCTGTTTAAGGTAGTTATCATCCACAAAGCTCGGTAAACATGTAAACACATGTTGTTAGTAATTTGAAATACTTTATGTTGTTAGCATTTTGTGTGTGTATGGTTGAAAGTTTCTGGCTAATCCTGTCTGTATTAAAGCTACCTGCCTGAGACCTCATGGTCCCACTGTTGGGTCAGACTGTTCACCGTCATTGTTAAGATTTATAAGCAAGGCACTGTTGCATTTGTAGGTGTATACAAGTGTTTATTCTATCACTGTCAACAATCTGTTTCTGTATCAGGTGAGTTAAAAGGGTAAAATATTCATTCAAGTAAGACTTCATGTTGTAGTAGATTTTACATCATTTAGAAATGGTTTTAAAAAAGATAACCTAATCATTTAGAAGTTCAAAAGATAATTTAGTCGTGATAACTCTGATCCTGACATTCAGTTGGCTGACACTGTTTGCAGGAATGTATGGGCTTTGTTTGCATTGTTTAAAATGTGACTCAATACAGAGGATTGAAGGTGAGCAGCGTGTAGGTTTCTCTACATCTTTCTCTAGTACCACTCCATGTGTTTAAGGACACAATATGTGTGAGCATCTGCTCCACAGGCACATGTGTGCTATAGGAGAGCTAGACTTTCTATAAGGAATAACAAGACAAACTTGAGGGATAGTTCCTGATTTATTACAACTTGTGTCTTACTGCTGCAGTTTTGGCTAACATAGTACATAACTGACGAGATCTATGAACAAATCATGTATGTTTTGGTTCAAGTATCTCTGTCTTATAAACACAAAAATAACCCTTGATATGATTTAGAAAATGACTAAGACAGAGTAATAAAGAAAAAACTTTTTTATGCTCTTTGTTTTATTGTGGTAACTGACTAAATAACACACGAATTACCAGTACTGCTGAATGCCAAAAAAGGTAAATCTGAAGTGGTTATCTTGCGCACTGATGATGTTCTTAAGTCAAAAATCATATGTCACTGGGGCTTTGACAGGGAGTGATGAGTAAAATGGCAGCACAGACAAAAATAGCTTACAATATCTTACAAAGTTATATCATCATTATTCAGCTTTTAGCCGAATCAAATCATTTTCCTCATGACCTGATTGGCTTTCGCATTAGTTACATTCCCATTCTAGCTGCCCAGTGCACGTTTCAATCTCAGTTTATAGGGAAGTGCACGGACATCACCTCCTGCAGCAAAGACATGTGAAATACCTCTCTAGTAACAAACTTTACACGGATACAGTTCAGTGTAGTGAAGGTCAGACATTTTAGGGGACAGAAAATAGAGGAAAAACACACTTCTGAGTAGAGGTGGGCTTTAAATTTTTAATGTTTTCTGCCAAAAACTAGATAAATTGAAATGAAAGGGATATTTCCTCACTACCTGGCAGAGTACAAAAGACTTCAGAGCCTTTAAAGGAGTGTTTAAACTATGAAGTAGGGAAATCAAATGTAACTGAACAGTTAAACAAATAAATAAATTGTCATATTTTGTATTTTCTTTTAATACTAAGAACATTTTATAGCATTTGGTTGGGTTTGGTTCTCAGGTTGGGGTTCAGCTGGGAGAATTTGGGCTTCTGACCTCAGTATTTCTTAAATCCAAGCTTTGACCCTTAACTTGGTGGGAAAAATGATGTAATTATGCAAAAATGATGACCTACAAAACAGTAAAACCCGAGTTGTGATAAAGCAGAATTATTCTTTGACAGACAGTTTTAATGGCGTTTTCAGAAGCACACTAAGTGCTTCTTTCTTATGGAAAAACACAACCCACTCTAGAAAGGCCTTTACAGCTCAACAATAAACAAAAATACTTTTATCTTTATAGTTCTGCTTCCCATTTTCCAGGAAGGGAATAGTTCAAAGATTACACAACCATGTTCATCTACATTCACTGTGTGGAGGGAGAGAAAAGGCAAAGAGATTCAACCCTTTGTTTCCTGAGGAAACATTTTCCTTTAGGAGCTGAGTGTCCCTTTTTTTACCCGCCGGTGTTCACTTCAACTCAGCATCAAACAAGACGTCAAGAGGAGTGATTCTGACATAAGAAGGTGCCAGGTTCTTTAACTATGGCCAAACTCTGCCTCAGCAAACAGCCAGAGTGGGCATGAGCAGAGGACAAGCACCACTGACTGCCTAACTAGCTGCTATGAGACAGTAGAGCAGGTATTCCTGGCGCCAGAGGAACAGTAGAACCAAACAGACTGATACAGAGAGTGCTATTATTTGGTAAACTCAAGCACAATTGCATTTTCTTTTCACTCCCTAACAAGACGCAGCAAGTTTCATCTTTCATGCTTTGAGCCAACGGATGTCCTTGACAATTAACATGTGAAAACTCAGCATGCCGGAAAACAAGCAGCAAAATAGGACGAGGCTTTGTTTACTTCTATAAATAATGTAGTTTATTACACATGAGGGAGATAGATGTTGGCCATAGTTCGAATTATCATGAAGTCACATTGTGTTATGTAATCTAATGAGTAAAGTGGTCTTTTTCTCTCTTCATATCTTCCTCCGCTCTCGCTCTAATGGCTGTGTAATTATGCATAGTTATTACGTCAAAGAGACTGAAGCAAATCAGAGAAACCCATCTGCTGTAGAGGTGGCATTGGCACTGCATGTTGTGGTTATGTTGTACAACTGATGGACAATAGGAAAAGAGAAAAAACATGTTTGAACAGCTATGTAGTCTGTACTCCCTTTGTGAAACTAATAATGTTAAGTTTCTGCTGAGAGCATCATTTCTGAGGCCGTAATTGTTGGCAATGGGGTTGGAACTCTTTATATTAGAAGATGTTCCCATTGTTTTTTAGCTCAATTTAACGCTAATTCAAGTATTAAAGAACAATTAATAATGTCAGAATGCCATCATCATACAGGAAACAATAAAATACCCAAAGATGAATTCAAGAAGATGAAACATAAGACCTAATATACTGTCACACACATCTTGTAGGTCAGGTTTGCAGCTCTTTTGCCCCTCTTACACTGCTTGTTTAAGGCAGGAATATCACGCTATCATGCCGCCATCTTGTTCTGTACCCAAGGTACAATTGCAGAATGGGGGGAAAGAGTGGACTCGCCTTCAAGCTACCATGGGAGGTAGTACCAGCACTGAAACAGTCTCTGTATAAACAGGACAACAATATGCAAGATGGGATCATGGGCAGCATGGATATGATGTTTTGACGACATGTCATGCATGCGACCCACCACCGGGAGATATAAAAAGAAGCTAATAGCACTTAGCGGTTTACTCAAAGAAGAACAGCAGCTGTAAATGTCAGCAAATTGGGAAGACAAGATTTGTGAGATCCTTACTCTCCGAGCAGAGGACAAAATCAGCCACAAAATAACACCGACGGTAAATGATTGTTATTGATCCATTAATGCCATTGTTGTTGTTTAGAAGGGGCTGCTGACATGTATGTTTTATGTCACACTAGAGGCCGATGCTGTTGTGTTACATGTCATGCCCATCAAGCCTCTTTTGATTCCGCAAAGCTGCGATACAGTGTATAATCACACACTGAAGCGGCATTATGCTGCTGTTGTTTGGGTCTGTGTAAAAAGGGCTTATGACACTGTACTGTTTTAATATTGTGGTGCTTTGAGCTAAATGCTAACCTCAGCATGCTAACATGCTTGAAATGAAAACATGAACATGTTGATGATCAGCAGATAACCTTTATATTGTTAACTATTTATTGAATGAGTTTTCAAATGTACTTTCTGGCGCTTTGAGCACCACAAGCCGAGTGCCATCTAGTTCCATTACATTAGAGAGAAGGCTGACATCTCTATGGTCGATATCTCCAACACTCAGCAACTCACACCCAAATTGATAAATAGCACTACAGGTAAGAGGAAAAACTTGTATTTTTGACTTTAGGGTGAATTGTCCCTTTAAGATAAATGTCCATGCAGGGTTTAACATTTTAACTACCATGAGAAAATTGAATCGCTGTATTGTAAATGTAGTGTTGCCATGGAGATGGACAGTTAGACAGCTTACCGACTAGCAGTGCATCCCTCTCAGATTGAACAGGACTGGCACGATTCTTCTCTGGGAGACCTTCCTTGTCCTGGCTGCAGGACACCACTGATGATGCTGTTACATCCTGAGGACATACAGAGATCACACAACACTGTTAAAAGACCAACACAGCACTTCAATTAAACACTGACGCCACTGAAAAAATCTACACAGGGCTCCGGGCAGCAACAGCCTCACATTTGAGGGTATACATCAATTTACTTGGCAAAGAAAATGGCACAGAAAGTATTTTAATAAGCTCACAAAGAGTTTTGCACTGTAAGGGAAATGCAAAAATAGAAAATAAACACAAAATAATCTACATAAAAAAAGAAGGACAAGACAATGAGCACAAGATGAAGGAGCAGAAGAATGAAGCCAGCAGCCCAAGTTCTGACAAAGGGGCCAAAACAACACAAGAGAGAAAGTGCTAACGATGCTAATGATCAAGCTGTTGTTTACTGTGAGCCAGATACACAGAAGTGAGGGTAGAGGAGAAAATTTAAGTGTGTGTGTGTGTGTGTGTGTGTGTGTGTCAGAAAAAGACTCGCATGATTGAAGCTTCTAAAATAAGGATCGTGGCAATGGAAGGTGGCTTCCTCTCCAGAGTCTAGCCTAATCAGGACGGCTTGTCTTCAAGTTCCTGTCTAATGTGAGAGTGCAAGTATGTGTTTGTGTGTGCACATTTACTCTGTATGTGCTCTGTGTGCTGGTCCTTCATTCTCTAACCCAGTTGCGTCTAGGTGATTTAGTCAGTGACAAATACGGTCCTTGTGAAGACTGGCCTGTATTGATGTATCCTGTCGGTGGAGGAGTGAACGGGGAGGGGAGGAGGTGAAATAAATAAAAATAAGAGGAGAAGACAAATATTTTGAGTGGAGCACTGAGAGCTCGGATTTTTCTTCCCACTTTCACTGACTTGATTAGCACTCTGTTCGCTCCCTCTGTCATCTTGCTTTAACGTCTCCAGCTAGAGTCAATTAGAAAAATGAGAGGAAACGTCAATGAGAAACAAGTCACCCACTAATGCAATCAGACACACCGAACCTCACTCTCCATCCCCTCTCACACGCGCTGACACATTCACATAAACATGAGCGGCATCAGCAGCATGAATAAAGCCTACTTTCACAGGGACCTTTTCTCTTCAAATTTCAGAGACAAAGTCAACAAGAAAAAAAAGGTCAAATAGTCCATAAGAGTATACGGCTGCACGTCCAGTTATAGCAACTAAATTACTGGTTGCTTGCTCTGTTGTGCTGCCTGTAAAGTCCCTGATGTATTTAATCAAAGGTAAGAATACCTTCTAAATACATTTGAATAGAAACACGCTCTCTCAGATGACACACTGTTTAAAATGATTAAAGCAGCTTCTCTTTCATGGCTGAAGGCGGTGATAACATGACAACAGTGCTGACAGGTGTATGATGAAAGCTGACATCTTGAGAGCGGATTCAGGAGACTATAGGACAGATATGGCAACTGCATTATTAAGCAGATACACAGTATTAGGGAAATAAAGCGGCGCTGACAGCTATGATCCAGTGTGAATGCACATGGTGAATGAATATGTAATCTGCCATTCAATGTAAACACTGAACTGAACTGTCAGACTGTGTGAGATGAGCTGATGCCCCCGTAAAATGTGCTGGTACAATGTACAGTATGCCTTAGTGAGTGTATGTTAATGTATTTCTCCAGCAACTGTATGCCTATATATAGAAGCCCTAAGAGGCAAGTAAGAAAAAAAATCTTGTGATCCATTTTCTACGTCTGATTGAAATTAATTTTCTCTCCTGTGTTTATGACTTAAAATAGTATTTCACTGCTGGAAAACTTTTGTCAAGGCAGCCTAAATTTTGCACAGACAAAGTTAGACTGTCTATGCAGTAGAAGAACACTAAACTTTCAAAATTGGTACCTCATGACCAGAAAAAAAACAGTAAAAGGGCTGTGGTGTTCACTTTTGCTCAATAGGTAGAAAGATTCTCATTCACAGATTATCATATCATAGCCAAACAGTGCAAGAAAATATGCTTCTGAAGACATTTTAGGTGAGAAATAGAAAATGTCATGACAGAATCCAAGAGCATAGAGCCAGCGAAAATCTAAAAATTTGAGTTAAGAGATGGGGAGGGAGAGCTGGTAAGATGGAGGGAAGTTTACCACAGGTCATTTACACACACTATCAACATTGTTATCATTGTGGTTTCTATAACTGTGTTTTTGATGGGGTGGCGTTGTTAGCGCCACTCCCAACCTCCAGGCCGGGAGGGCCTGTGTGCTGACTTTCATCTGGCTCCTCTCCTGAGATCAACCTGGTAAGGTTGAACCTACCAGGGGCTGTGGACCCCGCCCCCAGCGTAGCTCTCAGGGTCTTAGAATCGCGTAAGCCTCTCCACCACAACAAAGGTAACAGCACAGGGAGAAGTACAGGAAGAAGGCCAAAAAAAATCTCGAACCTTCAACTGTACAAGAAAACAAGTAGCTACAGTATCACCAAATAAATCACACACAGACTTTTGAGATGGCTAGGCCTCGTGCTAAGAATGGAACAGGGCCGGATCACAAGAGTCGCCTTAAGATGGACACCACCAGGCAACAGACAACCCGGAACCTGTCATGGCGAGAGGCGCAACATACTGCTAAGAACCGAATGCAATGGAAAGTGCTCACTGCCCCATAGGGGATGAAGACGAGTAAGTTGTTATGACACAAAGCTGGTTGAAAATCCGCTAGTATCCCTTTAAGAACAGGTAAAAAAAAAGATCTGCCAGGATAATGTTTCTAAGTCCCTTAATTTTATTTATTCTGTGAAAACAGGTTAAACAAATTTTTTGGCAGGTAAATTCTTTTGTGGTTGTAATACTCATTTCGGCCACAAGAGGCTGAAGTGTAGAACAACCCCATGACCTTAATAGGACTAAAAGCATTCATGTTTTCTTTCAGGAGAGTTTTTATTTCTCAATACACTCTAAACACAAGGGTTATATACTGAGTGTTGGCAAGTTATGCAGCATTACACTCGGGTCACGGGGGCAGCAGGCCAAGCAAAGCACCCTAGACCTCCCTAATCCCAGCAAAGCTTTCCAGCTCCTCCTGAAGAACACCAAGGCATTCCCAGAACAGAGGAGATATAGTTCCACCAGTGTGTTCTGGGTCTGTCCCAGGGCCTCCTACCAGTCGGACGTGCCCGGAACACCTCTAACAGGAGGCGCCCAGGAGGCATCCTGATCAGATGCCCAAACCACCTCAACTGACCCCTTAAATGAATAAAAATGTTCACCTGCCGTAAGTTTTCTTCCCCCTCCCATTTCACAGTTGATTTTTTTTGAAGTAACTAAGAAAGATTATCTTGGCAAAACTCTTTTTTTCCACCTGTTCTGAAAATAAAAAACACAGGAGAGGAAAATTTTGGATCAGACTTAGAAAATGAATCACCAGATTTTTTTCTCTCACTCGCCTCTCAGGGCATTCAAACCAAGAAAAGGGAGTGTTGAATAAAATTATTCTCCACCACATGATTGAGTTACATGAGCAAGAGGTTTCTGTGAATAAATCTGCACATGTCAGGAAAGACAATTGTTGGAGTCATACTAAGAGCAAACACTTCTTTCAAATCATCATCCCTGGTATGGCTTACACAGATCAGGACGATGCAAACACTTCTGTGCTCTCAGATACACATCTAAGGGGAAAATAGGAGCGTTTTCTGTGGCCATACATGGCTTGTGCTATGTTTAGGGACTGATCCAGGTGTGGATGTTATGGTGGAGGCGATGCTGTATGGTGAAGGAGTGAGTGTGTGTGCGCTCTACACGTGTAGTCAAGGTTCCTTTTCTTGCTGGGAAACGAGAGGTAGGGGAGCGTGATGAAGCTGCGACTCGACAAGCTCCAGATGAAGCACAACATGTTCTTCTCGTCTCTGCTGACCGACACTGCTCATGTTGCTACTTGTCAGTCTCGCACTGAAAAGGGCTCTTGGAAAGTTGAAACACTGCTGGTTTTCCCCAAACCTTGCTGTCTCTGCCAGCTGAGACTCTTTCACATCTCCTATATGCACCTCCCTCTCTCAGGGTTTTCTACCTCCGTCTGTACTTCTCTTCAATACACAAGAATGGGAACAAAAATAAAATAAAATCAGAGTGTATGAAGATGTCTGCATTAATGTTGGAGGTCAGTTAGAGTAAATCATCTGTAGCTTAAAATATGGTGCATTAACTCTGTTGCCAGCTACATACAACTTTCATAACCTAACATCCTCTTCCTTCTGCTGAACTGACTTTTTGTCAATTTTTTCACAGCTGCTCACAAAGGTCAGTCAAACATGGGTAAACACTTTAATGAATATGAACTTTTGGTGCAGTGTTTGGCACCCAGCTTGCTGCGTATCACCACAGGGTATCAGGAAAAAATAAAACACACCACACACAGAACAATGCTGCACGCAAATGCTGTTGTTTGCAATAATGTGAGCGCAGCTTAAGTCCAGAGGGAGGGCAGTGGTGTTGGTGTACTATTGTCTAAATGTGATACTCCAGAAAGAGTCGAACATGAGGCCATTTTCTTAACGTCACCTGAGGACAATGTTCTCACTGTGGTTCAGATGATGAAGTGTTTCTGCTACTATATAGCTCAGCTTATACACAGAGATAATCCTCCAGAGAACAGGAAGAGATGCATGTACAGGAAGTGGAAATAAATTCTCACCAGCAGAGCCGTGGAAGAACTCGAGAAGCTAAACCAAAACTATATTGTCCCTGCAGAGAGACCTGGTCACCTCTCCTCCTCTATTACCCATCAGCAGTCAAACCTACATGGAAACATATACATACCCTGACAAGTAATAAAAATACTGCTACGGCTTCTGAATGATGTCCTGGAAGTTTCCTGGAAATAACTGTCCTCATGACCTGGTTCTAAAGCGATGACAATGGAGGAAGAGATGCAGCTCAGAAACAAATAAACAATGTATTTATTTCAATAAAGTTTAGCTCCTTACAGTCAGTAGTTAGGGTTTGTGTTTGGATAAGTAAGAGCAGGAGAGAAGAGCTCTTCTCTGACTGAGGGAGGGTGGGGATTTAT